TAGAATTGTATTATACATTGAACAACAAAAATTATTGTAACACACTACTGTCTGAAATCAGTTTATGAAGGCTGTCTCGCAAAATAATTTTGCACTGGTTTAAATTTTACAACTCCCTTTTGTTCAAAGTGATCACTTCGTAATGCAATTTCGAGGAGAGAATGGGTGCCCACAACAGATAATTCTAAGGGCTTATAAGGTTTAATGATAAGAAGAATAAAACAGACCATGATAAGTTCTGTACACCATACGCAGTTGACCTACTGTACAAGTACCAGCAGCTGGTATGAGAGGCACAGGTTTAATGTACCATGTATGGAGAACAGAATTCAGCGTTCTGTACCTGCACAGTCCAGTGGTAAGGTTACACTGTAAATCCATTGATCCTATTGTGCTACAGTTACAGGCCTAAAGGACAAGTTCAAAAAAGAAAAAAACTAATTCATAATTCATATGCACAGGAAGAGCACAACTACATGTAAGGAAAAACCCTTCATGGCCCAGCCTTGGAGGTCCCCTGATTTACCAGTCAAATGAATGAATGTGGTCTATCAGTTGTGAGTCAATGAGTCACTGACCAAATTGCACTCCCATTAACTTGAATGGAACTCTGGTCTGCCTAGACAATGTTCTTGTTAGCCTGAATATTTTATAGAAAAGGCGCAATACAAATAATAAATGTTATTGTTATTGTTATTATTGAATAGCACTTTGGTCAGCCTACAAAACACTTTATTTCTTATGCTCATTGGCACTCTGATCAGCCTGACTAGTGCTATGGTTAACCTGAGTAATGCTCAGGTCAACCTAGCCTGTTTACAGCTAGTTCTCAACAATGGTGCAATCATGTAGCTTTGCCATGTAGTGAATAGTCATAACTGAGACTACAATTTATACAATACAATGTACAAGTTCAACGAATGCTACTTCAAAATTAAATTTACCCTCACTGATTTTATACATTTCTTTATAATCAAGCAATTACATGATGAACACTCTTGGAAATGAAATAGTCACACAATATAACTACCACAACCAATAATAGCCAAATACAGCCCACAAAAG